AGGAGGAGGAGGAGGAGGAGGAGGAGGAGGTGGGGGGTCCTGAGAAACATCACAGCAACTTGACCAGACAGCACTTGAGCGACGCATAGAAAACGGGGTCGCCTGCGCCGACATTGGCGTGTCAGCTGCCCGCGCAAGGTTGCGCGTAAGTGACTTCGTCTCCAATGCAGCGAGCCGCGCTGGGAGCCCGCGTAAGCTGCTGCGTAAGGTCGCTGCGTAATCTCGCGTAGGACCCGTTTTTGATCGTCGCTCACTTGGCATTCTACGACGCCTCAACGTGCCATGGGGGCACGATGGTGGACAACAACAAGCTGAACACCATGCACTCCTCTATGCACGACGTTTGGCAGATTTCCGAACTGATCCTGCCGAAGGTGGGGAAGATCTACCCCATGAAGCCCATCGTCATCGATACCGTCAAGGACAGGTTGGCGGAACGTGCCCACCTTTCCCGGTTTAGTCCTCCCGCGGGCACGCATGCTCAGGATTTGCGTTGACAATGACGAAAGCGCGACATCCAATACGATGAGATGAGGATCAGCTCGGGTTCGACAGGGGCTCTCTGCTCTTGAGGTCCTTCCATGGTTGTTCCTCCAGAGCTCATCGTGCGGCCAGGCGCTTTTCGGGCCCCGGAGGGGCTGAGTTCCTCATGGTAGCGCTCCTCATGGTAGTCGCATGCTGATCATGCCAGCAGCAGTGAGACCCGAGACGATCGGCGCCAGGAGCAAGGGGCGGGTGTGGGGGGCAGGGCATCTGGCCGCCCAAGAGGACTTCATGTCGATGGCGACCACCCAGCTCGCCGGCCTCCAGGAGGCCGCGGACGAGATCGTGGTCAACATCGGCCCCATCGTCGCCGAGCGCCTGCAGTGCACATGGAGCGCAGCGTTCTCGCGCTCCTCCATGGGCTGGGTCGTGGCCCCAGCCGGCAGCTCTTTCGGGCCCCCGGGGGCGCCCAGGACGAGGGGACAAGACGTGCTCCAGTCCCGGGTACGTGCGGAGGCCAGGGTGGCCCATACGGCTTTGGCGCCCCCCAAAACCGCGTGGTGACGGACCGCGTGGTGCCCTCGAAGCCCCCGACGACCTCACGGCGCGGTCCGTCACCGCATGCTCTTGGGACTCGGGAGGCCCCAGTCGCCCGAGACGTCCTCGGAGCACGACCCGAGCCCCAGCACCGCGCGACGACCCCGAAGCCCCACCGGCTCGCACCGCGCTGCGTGGCCACGCCGCATCGCGCTCGATGGGGTGGCCACCGCACCGTTTGATCCTGTGGGCCCTGAGAGCGACGCTGGCAGACATTGCCGGCCAGCCCCGGGCTCGCCCAGGGCTCACGCCACCCGCCCGGCGCTGGAGCCTCCCGGCCGCCACGGGGAGCAGGGCCGGCGCGCCTCGCTGTCGGCGGCGGCCGCGGGCCGCGCCCCCCCCCCACGCCCTGGCATGGGCCTCGGCATCGGCGCGCGCATGTGCCCGCAGCGCGGCGGGGCGCGCCCGCAGCCCGCGCGGCGTGCGGCCCTGCCGCGGGGGCCCAGGGCCGCGGGTGCCTGCGCGGCAGTCGGCCGCAGCCGATCGCTGGGCAGATCCTGGCCTGCAGGGGCGGAGGCGCCAGCTCGAGCCGGTCGAGCGCCTCGGCGGTCCCGGTGGGGCCAGGCGTCGGGCCGCCTCTGGCGCCGCAAAGGGCCGCGGGGTCGCGGGCCTGGCCGCGAGGCCAGTCGCAGCTTCCTCCCTGCCCTTCCCTTCTCTTGGTCCTAGCTCGCTCCACAGCACCTGCCCTTCGCTCTTTCTCTCTCTCTCTCTCTCTCCCGCTCTCTCGGGGACACCCAAACGGTGTGGTGACCGCACCGTGTGGTGAGTCTGTGGGGATTCGTGGTCACCACACGGTTTTGAGACTCAGGTCGTTCTCCGAGGACGTCTCGGGCGACCAGGGCCTCTAGGGTCCCAACGCCGTGCGGTGACGGACCGCGCTGTGAGGTCTTCTGGGATTCCGAGGTCACCGTGCGGTCTGTCACCACACGGTTTTGGGACCCCCAGCTCTCCCTCGCTCTCGCCCTCGCCTTCCCCCCCCCATGCCCCTTCCCTCCACTCGCGTGCCTCCGCTGCTCCCCTCGTCCTTCCCCGCATCCCGCTCCCCCCTCTCATTCCTCCCTCCTCCTCCCTCTCCCTCTCTCTATACCGCGCCCTCCCCG